CCCCCCCCCCCCCCCTTTTTTTTTATATTCTTATTCCCCCATATATTTTCTCTCCACAGTAACTTAATATTTTAACGGTAAAATTTCTGATAACTCATTACATAATTTTTTCTTTTTCTTTTTTTTTTTTTAAAGAATTTAGAGAGTAAAGTAATTCAGACAAGGAGTAGCGAGGTTGTTAATAGATACATATTTTTTCCCATTTTTCTTTTGACTCACGATGGGTGGAGTGGGTGAAACAGTAAAATTGAGGGTGCGGCGGTGAAAGGAGTGAAAGATTCCGGCGTCAACGACGGGGATACACACTCCCGGCCGCCGCATCTCATTGGCGGACGAAGATTGCGACACGTAACTCATAAAGTGGGCCCCAGATAGAGACACGGCCCAATCGGACAACATCAGATGGGGTGGTGACTCAGCAAGAGAGTCATCTCGAGTTTCGTAGTACGAGTCACGTGACCCCCAAGATACCCGCCACCCGGTCCAGTTATTTAATTAATGAGTCAAAAAAATTGACTCGTTTTTAAATAAAATTAATTTTCTTTTAATAAAATATCTCCGCGTTTATAAAAATAGGGTAACGGTACACCCCCACCGTAATAACGGGAGAACAAAATCTTTTTTACTTAAAATCAAATTATATAATAACACACCCATTTGCGTCCCTATATTTCCTTTTTTCTTTTTACCGAATTTCCTTTTATACTTTTTTTAAATAAAAAATTAATTATATTTCTAAAATAAAAATATTCAAATTTCGAATTGATGAGACTGCCCTTTTCTGTCTCTTACCGGGCCATCACTTTCCCAGATTATATAATTACTTCTATAACTAAATTTTATATTATTTAAATCGAGACATGTTGGTCAAATAAATATTATTTATTTATTTATTTATTCACACAACTAGAAGGGGTTTTTAAAAATATTATTTTATAGAATATTTACAAGCATATTTGGAGTTGTAAAATGATCAATAATTATGAGATTAACTTAAAAGGAAATATTTCCTTTTTCTTACAATATAAAAATAATTTATAATCAATGCTGGTCTCATTTTCTTTATTGGACCCCTCCTCGTTTATAATTCTGTTTTAATTTATCAGAATTAGAATGAATTGTCTTTCAATAATTATTACAAAAACAAAAACAAAAAGAAAACGTGTTTTGAAATTCACGGGAGCCAGTAGCGCCCTTCTATCCATCCCTATTCTATTTTTATCTTTCCTCTTATCCTTATTACGGCGGTAAAAACAACCATTTTTTTATCTTTTACTTTTGTAGGGGTTGAAAGTAGAGTTTAATAATTCTTTAATCACTTTTAAGTGGCTTCACCGTCCTAGAGTTCAAATTCAAATTTTATTTTCAGCAGAAATTCCAATTATACTTCAAATTTTAGCAAATTATATTAGTTTTAACAAATAATATTTATCTTAAATAAGCCATTTAACATAGCTTCATAATTGTTCAATAAACTATAAATATATATATTTGGTATGGTATTTATTAAATTTCAAATAAAAATGGCAACAAATCTATTTTTTAATTTATTTGTAACATATCTATTAAAGGATCGCTGCATCGTCAAATATATTTTTGCAAAATTTGAGAATTCTTATTTAAGTTTATGTTCAATTTTTAAATTTTTAATTTTTTTTTTTTTTTTCTTTAAACTGAAATTAGCCAGTCATGAAAAAAAAAATAAAAATAAAAAGAAAGAGAGAGTGGGTTTGTTGTTGAAACACGTGGCTCATGATGGAGGTGGCAGAGAGCACACACATGAGCGGGGCCCATAGAAAGCGTGATGATCCTCGTGATAAGTCATGGACCTTCAACACACAGTATCATTACCCACAAAGAAATTTAACCGGAAACCGGAGCAATCTGTTCCCTCTTCGTCGTTCCATCATAGACGCAACTACGGACAGTGGGCACCACTCCACCACCACCACCACCACCCCCTCCCCTTTTCCAATTCGTAATTTCCAAAATAATAATAATCATATATTATTATTGATTAATAATATATGATAATTTAAACATTTAATTTTAGTCTATTCTAATTTGCTTTGGGGATTCTTTTCATAATAATTATTATGATGATTAAATAGTTGTTTGCCTATTTCCGAAATGCCCAAATAAAAATAATAAAAATATAATTTCAGTTACCATATGGATATTTTGATTTTCCCATAAAAGGGAATAATTATTGAGGCAATATTTGATGAACCGGCGTAAGTTTTTAGCTAAGAAGTGCAATAATTCAATGATAAAAAGACCATTTTTCCTTTTTTTTCCTTTTATTTAGGTACCAACCAAACCGTACAATTATTGTACATTGTTGTCAATTAATTTATTTTCTAACAAAAAAAATTACTCTCTATCCAACCCATTGAACTACGTTCTTAGAAAAATGTTTATGGGATATTTTTGTTTTTTTTTTTTTAAGATTCAGAAAAAGGATTACAATAATTAAAAAAAAAAAAGAAAAGAAAATTGGTAGACAAGAAAGTAATCCTCGTACAAATGTCGAAAAGTCGACCGGTACAAGAATGCATATATAGGGAAAATATGGCATAAACAAGTTTGTAAGGAAACTATTGAAACTTTCATGGAAATTTGTTTGGAATCCATTATAAGCTATATTCATGGATCCGATTAGTCGGATAAGAAACTCTTGTAGCCAAACAATGGACAAGTACAGATACAAGAGCCCACCATGTATGTCATCGCATGCTTATGTGTAAAATGTCCCACTTGCATATATGATATTTTTATAATATAAATTACAAATCTTTGTATTGTCTACATCAAAAATAAGATTTCTTTTTCTTTATTAAAAATTAAATTTTTATAAAAAATATATATATAAAATTTAAACATCAAACTTCCTGCAACTTTTCAATAGTATGATATTATTCACCCAAAGTCGTAGGGTAGATTGTAAAGCATTTAATGAGTGAAATGTGAAAATGCATATTTCAAAGAATGCACCAAATCCCACAAAACAAGCTACAATGAAGTGCTGTCTTGTTTTGGTTCTTGTGTCAAAATTACTTCCCCATTTGTCTTTATTTATAAATATATATAATATCAACAAAAGGTGTTTGTTTCAAATTAACCACTTACTTACAAATTTAACCCACCTGTTGACGATTCTACGACTAGAATATGAAGAGTCATTTATCTTGAGATCATTTTTTTTATATATGTTTCATATACATAATTTCAAATATATCCGTAGATTCATCCATTAAATGAGTCTTTTAAATTATTTGAAAAATATTTAATTGGAGAGGAAATTTTTAGACAATTTATTCAATATTGGATCTCGACAATACATCCCTCCATAGTGTTCATTACCGAGTTTTTAAGAAAAAAAAAATTGAAAAATATATTTTTAATGAGCATTTATCGAACATAATTAAAATGAATGAAAAATGTTAGTTTTGGGTTAGGAATATGAATTATTGAAGTCAATGGGATGGATCATCAAGTCCAAGATATTCGTCCTTTAATGGTTTAAATTGATTTGAATTTCTTATTTTCTACCATTTTCAGTATAATTATTGAATTAATTAATATTATACAAAACTTTAGATGCCCTTGATCCCAGTGTACCCGGCTTATCATCCTCTTTACTGTCTCCATACTAACTACTTTTATATTCTCAAACCCTAAACCATACTAATAATAATAAAATTTTCACTTAATTTTACCCTTTTTTTTTTTTTTTTTTTTTTAACTTTAAACACATATTTACCGTAGTTCTTAGGGTATTAACTTACATGTCCAAGATCAAATTTGATTTTTTTCATTACAAACAATGAAATAAATATTATGTATATATGTAGTTTCTAAGTTTTGGGAGTAAAAAAGAAAGTATAATCCGTGGGTAAAACTATCATGAAAAGAAACAAAAAGAGTGGGTGTGGGATAAAAATAATGAAGTAAAGATGAGTTCTAAAAAGGAGGGCCTCCTCTATTGGGTTTCACATTAAGAAATAATAATCATAATAATTAAAATAATAATAATAAAATGGGATTTGGATTTAGTATAAAGTATGATGCCCACATTATATTTGATTATAATGCACAAAACTTAGCTCGGATTTTGATGGAAACATCAACATTTATTACAACCCCCTCTTTTGTTGCACTCCATAACTTCCTAATCAAAACCCTCCATTTTAATATCATTCTCTCCCTATCCTTCTCTTTCAAGCTAGAGATGTCGGTCTCTCCATTTCTTTTCTTTTTTATGGCCTTTTAATTCTAAAGAATTAGTGGGACTTTCATTCCGCAGTTATAACATTAAAACAATCTCGAAGGAAATATCTTTTCGATTACCCTTTTAACATCTTTATACAAGATTAAAAGTTAAAACAATGAACCAGTAAATTTATATGACATTTTAATTTTAATTTTTTTTTAATTTTTTTTTTTTTAATTTATGTTATACAAAATGATTTGATGTCTCACACAACCTCTCCATTTAAGTAAGCATTTTTGGCAAATGTAAAGTAGGTGATGAAGGATAGTAGTTTTGTC